TCAGGACACTCGCACGACTCGGGCTCTCCGCCGGCCCTCGGCAGCGCCGCACCCTCGGCGGAGCTCAGGCAGCGCCTCCGCCGCCGCCCCGGGGCAGCCCGCACCCCCGAGCAGCAGCGGCGGTGGCAGTCGAGGAGCAGCCACGGCGGCCAGCGACCATTGCCAGGGCCGCGGCCGCCGCTCTCATGACAACCAGGCCGGCCCGCCTGGGCCTTCGCGCGTGCGCGACCCCGCCCCGCAGCGCTGCGCCTGCGCACAAGGCCGGGGTCCGCCGCCGCTTTCCTGGCCTTCTGGGTAATGAAGTTTCCGGCGGCGACGCCTGCGCACAAGGCGGGGGCGCGCCGCCGCCTTCCTGGCCTTCTGGGTACTGTAGTTTCCGAGGGCGGCGCGCGGCCTTGGTTCTTCCAGTGGAGACCACCCGGAGTGGACACCACTGCGATCCGCCGAGCAAGTGCCGCCCGCGGGACCAGAGTCTCTGAGGATGTCGGCGGTGCTCCGGAAGCCCAAGACGTTTAAGCTGCGGTCCCTGCATAGTGAGAAGAAGTTTGGGGTGGCGGGCAGGAGCTGCGAGGAAGTGCTGCGGAAGGGGTGCCAACACTTGCAGGTGCCCCTGGGGCCGCCGGGTGGGAGCCTCCACTTGCAGGATGGGACCGTGCTGACCCGTCGTCCTGTGGCGTTGGGATTGCCCGAGCTCAGGCTTCCCCGAGCCACACAGTAGGCTCCCGAGTCCTGACAGTGGGAGGGGATGCTGTCCACAATCTCTGGGCAGAGAGCTTGAGCCTGACCACTGCCTATGGCCATGTGCCCGACCCTGGGCTCTGTCCGGGCTCTTTACATGGCTTTGGTGGAGTTCAGGTGCTCTGCTCTGAATTGGGTGCTAACACCCCCATTTCACAAATGAAGAAATTGAGGCACTGAGGGACTGAGTAATGTGCTGTCACCACCAAGGAAAAGCCGATGTTTAAACCCAACCCAGTACTAGGTCCACCCAAAGCCTCTTAGCTGAGCCTCTGATGGTGTGGGCACTGCGGGGAGGGTCGTGTGTGTGATAGGGGGTGGGCTGTGATTGGGGTCCTTCCGGGCTTCTGGTTCCTGGTGCCATGTCTCAGCAGACGGCCTAAGTGAGTGAAGCCTCTACCCCTGCACTCAGGAGCCCACCTGCTTGGGAGATATCTGGGGAGAATAAGAGGCACTGCTTTTGTACTTCCAAACCAGGGATGTGGGAGATGTCTGGGCTGCAGAGATCCTCATTTCCTGTGCTGGGGAGAAGTCCCCAATGCCCTGTCCTGCTCAGGGGCCAGGTCAGAGCAGGGGGACTTTGTAGAGAACTAGGATGGCTCTCCTGCCTTCTGACTGACATGCTCGGGACAGCTCTGGCCTGAGGCCCAGGGACCCGATTCTGAGATCCAGGTGCCCATCGGCTCATGGCTCACATGTTCCCTGCCTTGGTTTCCCTGGTATAACGTTAAGGGTCAGGCTCCGAGGCCTCTCATGGCCCTTAGGCACTACTGTTCTAGGGATTTCAGCTATCCTTCCTACCCTTGTTGTTAACTTTCTCCACTGGGCCTAGACCAGCGCTGGGGGTGTGTGTACTTGCATGGCATGGGGGGAGGGAAGGAATTAGGTATAAAAACTTATGAAATGGATCAGTGTGGCATGGCAAAGGAGTAAACCTCAGCAGGTTCACAGTCCCGTGAACTGGTCACACTTCCGTAGACAGAACAGAGTCCTGTTCAGTAAGTTTCTCCTTGATTGATCAGTGCCAGGGAGAGACTTGAGCCATAGGTACTGCGTGCTGACACCTGTCAGGCTGTGTGCCTCGTTGATGGGGATGCATTTACAGGCTTAGTGCAAGCAGTCAAGCGTCATTTTTGGAAACAGGCTTGGATTTTAAAGTGCCTTAGGGGAGCTCTGTTTGAAAGGGTCTGAGTGGTGAATCCTGCAAAGCGGTCACCAGTGTATATTCATCTCTGTGACTTTCCAAGTCTTAGAACAACCTACAGTAGGGGCCCTTGATGGACTTGCTCCATACGTGCAGACTGCATCTCTGGCAGGATTCTTTACAACGTGGTTCCTTCTTGTTCTCTGTGAGGACTGCAGATAGGAAGACTTCAGCTGGCCACCCAAAGATTGGGCCCCCCTGAGGCCCAGGAAGTGAGCATCCCGCCCCGATCTCACCTCCCTCTTCTCCCCAGCTCCCCATCCCTGGTTCCCGCCTGTGTCTCTATGAGGATGGCACAGAATTGACTGGAGATTACTTCCGGAGTGCCCCCGACAACTCGGAGCTCGTGCTTCTCACTGCCGACCAGACCTGGCAGGGCTGTAAGTGTTGGGGATCTTGGAGACTGATGGGGAAGTGGGTGTGGTTGTGGAGGTGCAGAGGGTCTGCTAGCGGATGCCAGCCCTGGGAGGGAGGGTCCCTATGCTCTGGACCCTAAAGCAAAAAGCCCCCGGAGGAAGAGCTCGCTCACATGGCAGAGCTGTCCATCCTCTTGGCCAGGAGCACACCTCTCCAGTTGGTTGTTGTATGTGTCTCTTTAGGAAATTCCTTTAGTTTTATTTATGTTCATTTGAGGTGTCCTAGTAACTCCTAAGGGCAGAGGGTGGGCTTTGGGGTTCAGGGGCTGCCCTGTTTTACAGGATAAGCAGAGCCAGAGAGCAAGGTTATCCTGTTTACTGGGCTTTGTTGACCAAAATAATCAATAAACAGTCCATAATAAGAATAGAAAAGTTTTATTTGAGCCAAACTGAGGACTGTAGCCTAGAAGACAGTCTCTTAGATCACTCTGAGGATCTGCTCCGGAGAAGCAGGGTTTTCAGCACAGTTTGTGTCTTCAGAACAAAGACTGTTAAGCAAGTCAGGGATGCCTTCCTTTAAGGGTTCAGAAACAGCAGATCAGCACGTGCACGAGAGTCAGCGTGGCCTTGGCACTGGCAGAGAGTCTTGACCATCGAAGGAGTAACCATCATTGGCATCCCAAGAACAGGGGCATTTAATCTTTATTTATTTTGCTGCATTGCACAGCTTGTGGGATCTTAGTTTCCCAACCAGGAATTGAACCCCGGTCCTTGGCAGTGAGAGCTGAGTCCTAACCACGAGATCGTTAGGGAATTCCCCAATCTTTACTTTTAACTTGGACTTTCTTTACTTCTGGTCAGTGCACCCTTTTCTTTAATAATTAAGGCAGATGCACACTGTATGTATGATCTACCACAGACAGGCTCTTCTAGTTGGCATCAAATTCAAGTTAACTCATGCAGAAGTCTGAATGACTCCCTGTGTCTCAGTCGGTAAACATTTCCTTAATCCATTTTCTAAGGGACAGGCAGGTGACTGACTGTACGCTCAGCGTCTGATCTCTGTTGGGTTGGTGGACACCCATCCATCCTCAGGTTCCTGTTGGCGCTGCCTTACTGGAGCCAGTGCCCTTGGAGGTGGGTCTTTAGTAGTGTCTTTGCTGGGTGACAAGTGCTACTATGGAGCCGTGGGCCACTAGCCAGGCATGTGCATGTCCCCCAAGAGGGTCGTCTGGCCCCTGTAGAAAGGGACTTCCGATTCAGGTGCTGTGGGAAGGTAGTGGAACTCCGAGCACTGAGATTATCCTGCCTGCTCTGCTGAAAGGGTGGGGACAGAGAGAGGCCCGGCAGGAGCGTGGATGTGGCCTCAGCCCTTGGTTGGTTCTCTGCTGTCAGCAGTGAAGGTGACATGTATGGTGTGGTGAGCATCCTTCCTCTGTCGAGCCTTATCCTTCTAGAGAATTAAATCTGAATAATGTTGTTATCAAGAAAAGGAAGGAACACCCCCCCCNAGTGAGGCAGCTTTTGCCTAGCACTCCTGACTGACAATTAACAACCATCTCATTGTTACCACACTAGGGCTAAGTTCTTATTTCTCTAGATCTTTAACTATATTAACAATGGTTTTTATAACACAACCTTAGCACATTAAAGGCAAAAATACAGCAAGCAAAACACAGCAAACAAATCACAACCCAATAACCACCTATAGGATAATTTTCTTATGTTTTCTAATAGGACTCCTTTACCCCTTAAAAGAGCTCTCTATCTATTAGGGCTTTTATATAATCAGGTTCTTTATGCTATTTTATGATTAGGATATTATAAGCAATCATGCATGTTAGTACCAAGCACATAAATGCATTTGGCTAACAAACTACCAGCAAAGGAGTTTGAATTAAAACACTCCTTTCACCCTGAATAATCTCATAAAATACCACCACCTGGGAAACTTATTGATTAAAGTTCTAAATTGATTCTTATTTGGGAAGAGATCGGGGAAGGCCTTCCTGCCTGTGTCAGAGAAATTAGGGAGTAGTCCATTGAGGCAGGCATCGGAAAGACAGATATCATCTTTAAGGTGAGAGCCGGGGGCAGCTTTTTGAAATCCCTGAAAACCTGATCTGCCTTGCCTGTCAGGCTTTCTCCTCGTGACCTTGTCATGAGTGGGATCTCGTGAGGTGACTTTTTCGAAACCCCTGAAAACCTGATCTGCCTTGCCCGTCAGGTTTTCTCCCCTATGGCCTTTTTAGGGGTAGGGTCTTGTGTGTTGGCTCCCAGCAGTTGGCCATCTTCTCCTGGGCCGATTTACCATCTGTAAACCTTCTCGCCAAGCATCTTTTGTCCACTGTGTAGTTGGGTATTTTTCCTTCTTGAGTCTTGCGGGTTCCCCTGGTCCATTCTGGATGTGAGCCTTTGTCAGATGTGTGGTTGGCAGATAGTTTCTCTGCAGCTCATCTTTTTGTTTTCTTAACCAGGTCCTTTACATGGAGTAGAAATTTTTACTTTTGATGAAGTCCTACTTGTCCCTTTTTATCTTTCTTTGTTCTTATTTTAGTCGCTAAGGCATGTCCAGCTCTTGGTGACCCCATGGACTATATCGCCCACCAGGCTCCTCTGTCCATGGACTTTTCCAGTCAAGAATACTGGAGTGTGTTGCCATTTCCTTCTTCAGGGGATCTTCCCAACCCAGGGACTGAACCTGCATCTCCTGTATTGCAGGTTGATTTTTTATCACTGAGCCATCAGGGAAGCCCCTTTATGTTTCTGAAAGTATACTTTTGCGGTTCAGTCTGAGACTTCTTCGACAAGCTCTAGGTCTTGAAGACTTTCTCTGTCTTTCTGCGCCAGTTGCTGTGATCACATGGCTTTTCTTGCTTAGCCTGTGGAGGGTGGATCACACTGATGTTTGAACTCTGAGCAGCCCCAAGTCCCTGAAATGACCCAAGCGGCTTTGGGGCTTGTTCCTCGTGTGTCTGGATTTCTGCTTATAGGATGAAGACCTGAGTTTCTCATGCTTTCCTGGAGGGCTTGCTGCTTTCGGGTGCGTGTGGGAAGCTGGGGAGTCAGCCGGATAGTGAAGGGATGAGCTGGAGCCTGAGGTCTCGAGTGAGGGCCCAAGACCAGATGGTCTCACTTGGAGGAGGGGAGGCTGAGGGGGAAGGACAGCAACTCTCTTTGGTGTGTTTCATTTCCCGTGTCCTCCCCATCTGTCCTCCCCACTGCCACCTTAAGTGTGGGGGGCCAGCCCCCAGGCCTGGAGCACTGGGCTGGTGGCTGTCGGGGCAGGGGAAAGAGGCGGTTTCCCAGAGGCTGTGCTCCAAGGCCTGGTGGCCTCTTTGTTTGTCCCCTTCGGTGGCAGTCGTGAGTGACATCAGCCGCTTCCTGAGCGTGTTCCAGGAGCCACACGCGGGCGTCATCCAGGCTGCCCGGCAGCTGCTGTCAGACGAAAAGGCCCCACTGCGGCAGAAGCTGCTGGCCGACCTGCTGGGCACCGTCAGCGAGAACATCACGGCCGAGACCAGGGCTGAGGACCCGCCGTGGTTTGAAGGTAACCTCATGGATTCTGGCCTGGAGGGAGTGGACACGGAGGGCTTCCCTGGGACCGACTCTCTGAGACCCGGGGTCTCCATCAGTCCCCAAATCCAGGGGTTTCCCAAGCATGGGGCCAGGGTCCAGGCAGCCCTGGGGTTGGCTGTTTTATTTTTCAATCGTGGCGAAGTAAAATTCACCATATTCACCATTTTTGGGCACATAGTTCTTTGGTGGTATTGAGTATGTTCCCAGTGTTGTGTAGCAGCCCCACCACCTGTTCTCAGAGGTTTTCATCCTCCCAAACTGAGGCTCTGTCCCCAGTAAGCATCACTCCCCACCTCTCCCCTGCCCCTGGTCCCCCATCTTTCTGTCCCTGGAATCTGACTCCTCAGGGACCTCGTATGAGTGAGCTCATGCATCTTTCTTCTTTACTCAGCATAACCTCTTTGTGGTTCATCATGTGGAAGCAGATGTCAGGATTCCCTTCCACTTTAAGGCTGAATGATATTTCATCTCATGGGTGGACTATATCTTCTTTATCCAGTCACCTGGACCTATCTCACCTTTTGGACTGGCCTTCTGAGCCAGGAGGAGCAGCCCCCTTGGGAAAGGGGCTCCCCGGTGGCATTTGAGGTGCTCTGTGCTGGTGGACTGGAGACGACTTCCTTTGCAGAAGGAGCAGGTCCCCATCAGGACGTTTCTAGATGGAGCCGAGTCAAGAGCCCTCCTGTCCGCCCTCCTAGGAGATAACAGCCCCAGGCTCCAGGCATCTTGTCTCTCCTTCCTGCAGGCTTGGAGTCCCGGTTTAGGAGCAAGTCTGGCTATCTGAGATACAGCTGCGAGAGCCGGATCCGGAGCTACTTGAGAGAGGTAGGTCCCGGTGTGCTGGGCAGGTTTAGGAAGCCAGTTCTGCCGCTGGGACTTGGCTCCCAGGACCGGCGTGGATGTCGGAGGAGTGAGGGCTGTTGTGGGTGTGGGTGCAGGTGAACATGAGCCAGCAATGAGTTGCTTGCCCTGGGAGCCCCCTGCCGTTTCTCCTACACTTCATGGTCGGATGTCAGCCAGGGGGTGTCATGTTCCATTCTTTGCAGGCCACCCGCTACCCCCACACCTTGACCTTGCTCCCAGTTGTGTGTTCTGGACTAGAGTTTATCATTGGTGGTGCAGAACTGCCCACGTGTGCTCTGCTGAGAGCACAAAGGAAACCTCAGGGCTGGGGTATCTGAGGCCCTGGCCTGACCCAGCTCCCCCTCGTCCCTGCTCCCACCCCTGCTGACCGTGGCCACCCTCAGGCTCCTTCTGCTGGTGTAGTGCTCTTCCCATGCTGGCTGACAGGTGTCTCCAGGGCGTCATTCACAGACCCCGCTGGGTGCCAGCCCCATTCTGTGATGACCCGTCTGCTGTCCTGCTGTCATTCCCCCTGGGCCGGCGGTCCCCTTGCCTCTGCCCGGTGCTCAGTGTGGGCCCATGGGTGCGAGTCCTCACCTGCACTCCAGTGGGTGGTGATGTGGCAGTCGCTTTTCACCTGCACCCTTCTTCTCCAGTTTCTTGCTGCAAAACACTGGGTAGCGCTTGGGAGATGGAGTGGCCAGTGTGCCTGGAGCTTGAGTTTCTTTTCTGATTGTGACCAAAGCTCTGTCTCATGGGCCCAGAGGAACTTCCCAGAGTCAGTTATGGTGGGTGTGAGCTCTGACCCCCTGACCTCAGGGCCCTGCTGGGACTCCAGGGGGCAGGATCCAGAACCCCTAATCTCAGGGCCTTGCTGGGACTCCAGGGGGCAGGATCCAGACCCTCTAACCTCAGGGCCCTGCTGGGACCCCAGGGGGCAGGGTTCAGACCCCCCAACCTGAGGGCCCTGCTGGGACCCCAGGGGGCAGGGTCTTTGAGGGCCGTGGCATTCAGTGGACTGGGAGCCAGGCAGTGGTGGGTTTTAGGGTGTGTGGCCAGTGCTCTGTGATGCCCCTGCCTCTCCAGGTGACCTCTGGCGCCTCCCTGGTGGGCGCAGAGGCTCGTGAGGAGTACCTGCGGCTCGTGGGCTCCATGCAGCAGAAGCTCCAGGCCGCCCAGTACAACAGCAGCTACTTCGACCGAGGGGCAAAGGCCGACCGCCGGCTCTGCACCCCCGAAGGCTGGTTCTCCTGCCAGGTGAGCTGTGGGCATCTCCTGGGCCCCCCTGGCCGAGGCCTGGTGAGCTGGGGCAACCCTCGGTGCCAGCTTGGACAGAGAGAATGGTCAGCCCCACCAGTGGTTCCCAGACTTTGGTGGTGTTGGAACCCCTGGAGGGCTCGTGAGGACGGCTGGACCCCTCCTGGGGTTGTTGTTCAGCAGCTTCATGGGGCCTTAGAACCTGCCTTCCTGACGAGTTCCCATGATGCTCGTGCAGGGAGGGGTCAGGACACGACTACTTGTGAGCAGAGACCTTGTCCTGGCCTCAGAGAAGGGAAGCATTTGTTTGGGTGGTAGCTGATGCGTGGTCTGCCCTGTGGGAAAGCAAGGATGAGACAGCCTGCCCAGATTCAGGGTCATGGCCAGATGTGACATCTTGTCACTGGTACAGCTTGGTGCCCTGGCAGGGCAGTGTCAGCCGGCAGCAGCGTTCTGAGCTGTGGGGATAATGCAGAAGCACTGCTTGCTTTGTACAACTGTTTGCAGGCCAGGTGTGGGTGGACATGAGCTGCATGTAGCATTTCCAGTGAAAGCCCCTCCCTGCCACTAACAGTGGGCCAGTCTCTCCCCCATAGCCCCCCATGCCTCTGTCCCCCCCCAGGCAGCCCCTTCCAAGGGTGATGTCCCAAGCACCCAGACACTGCTCCTTCCCACCTGGCTTCACGTCACTCTCACCTGACCACTTCCTCCCGGGCAGTGTGACCTAAGCCCGGCAGTATGTGTGGTGGGGACAGCGACCAGAACCTCCACCCCGGCCTGGGCAGGCTCTGGGTCGAAGGCCTGTGAGCAAGTTTGGTGGTGGGTTTCTTGCAGAGAGGCTGTGAGGGCCCTCAGGGTGCCGACCGGGTCTCTGGGTGGGGTGCAGCTGGGGCTTTAGGAGGAGGTGATGCTTTAGTGCGTCTGCATGGCCCAGCCTGTGCAGGCAACAGGGAAATGCTGGGACGCCGTGGAGGAGGCAGAAAGGGAGCAGCTGTGTGATGGAGCGGTGTGGGGAGGGCTGGGGGCACACGGCAGGGAGCCTGGCGTTCCTGGCGGCTGACGGGTTAACTGATCCCCTCTGCAGATGCACTGCATCACTGGGGGTCACCAGGGAGCGGGGGCCATGCCAGGACAGAGTGTCTGCCTCTTGAGCACAGACTGTATACAGGGCTTGACCCCTGACTGGGGCGCCTCCGACTTGGGGGAGCGGCTTTTGGCCTCGGGGCCATCACCTCTTCTCCTCTGTCCAGGGTCCTTTTGACGTGGACGACTGTATCTCCAGACACTCCATCAACCCCTACAGTAACCGGGAGAGCCGTGTCCTCTTCAGCACCTGGAACCTGGACCACGTGTGAGTGTGTGGCGTGGCGGGTGTGGGCACAGACTGCAGGGCGCCTGCTGGCCTGGCTCTGCCTGGCCTCTGGGGCTGATGGCTGCCTGGTGTTCCACACACCTAGCTTCTGGATCACAGACCCATGGATGTCCACCGCTCACCTGCGTGGTAGTGTTTTTCAGTGTGGTGGCTCAGGTCCCCATCCATACCAGTGCAACCCTCCGTGTCCCCTCGCCCACCCCCAGCTCCCACCGTGGGGCAAGCCGGTGGTCGGCAGCTGAGGGCCCAGTCAGTTTGGCACCGGTGGGATCCCTGCCAGTCCCAGGGCAGGGGGTGGGGGGACTGGGCGGTGATGTGCAGGGTGTTTCCTGCTTTAGCCAGTGTGAGTGCATCTTGGGTGGCTGGATCGCTTTTATGTGTACATTAGCTCATTCAAAAAAGAAATGGAAAATTTTACTATTTTAACCAAGACGCTTTTCTTGTTGACTCTTGAACAGCATGGGGTTTGAACCATGCAGGTGCACTCACACACAAGGTTTTTCAGTAGGAAATGCTACAGTTCTCCATCCACGTTGGTTGAATCCACGGATATGAAGGAGGCACAGATATGGAGGAACCTGCAGGCAGAGCCCCTCCATAAAGATATCCTCGGGTTCTTGCCTGTGTGGGGCGCTGGCTCCTAGTGTCCCCATCTGCCCCCACGAGTCTCGGGGTTGCTCTGCAGGGTGAAGAGTCCTTGGGCCCCAGCACCCTACACCCTTGGTGTCTGGATCTTCTGCATGCTCCCTGTCTGCTGGGTGGTGAACAGCTTCTCTGGTCACAGGTCATTTGCCTGGTTACTAGGAAGGTGGACTGTCCATGTGTTTGTTGGCCATTCGTGTTCTGTGAAGTGGCTGTTGCTGCCTCTGCTCGTTTTCTGTCTGGCTTTGGTCTCCTGATTAATTTGTGGGGATTCTTTCTACATCCAGGACACTGGTTCTTTGAGGGTATATTTTTACTGTTTGGGCTTGTACACTGGATCCGGGGTCACGTCTCCTGAAACACATCGGTTACATTTCCGCTCTTTCTCTAAATGCATGTACATCCACATAGATACCCATACTGGCTTTTAATTTAAAATATGGTTTTGACCAGGAGGCAGCCAGGGTCTGAAAACATCAGCTTCTTTTCCTGAGATATGGCTTCAGGCCCACCCTGACTCTGGTGGGCTGAAGCCACAAGCCACATGTTTAAATAGTGAAACACAGAGGAGTAACAGACTCTCAATGCAGCATACATCATCCGCCCTCCTGGACGGTGTCACCTCAGCCCAGGCCAGGGTCCTTGTCCCAGTTGGTGGCCTTTTCAGGGCTCTGGGACGTTTCCGCGGTGGCCAGCTTCCAGAGTCTTCCCTCCTCCCCCACCATCAGGCCCCCTCACACCACGAGGGTGTGCGCACCAGGTTGCAGCCTGTCCTGGGAGTGATGGCTGGGTGGCAGGGCAGGGGTCCAGGTGGGCTTCAGGTGGGCAGGGCTTCTGGGCCCAGAGGCCTGCTCCCTGCAGCAGGGGCCCCGGGAGCATGGGGCCAGTCCCACAAGGGCACCCCATCAGGGCCCCATGTTGTGATGGGTCTTCCTTCTGGATCCAGCACTTCCCTTCCTCCCTTCAGAGCTGTCCTTGGCCTCTTCTTTAACTTCATTCATTTGGCTTTTATTTTTCATTTATTCTTTCTATTTTGGAGGTTTTTTTCTTGCTTATCAGTTACTTTGCAGCTCTCTTGTCCTCTAACATACACATTTCAGGTCGGTGTCCGCTTTAGCCACTTCCTGTGAGTTGGTAACTGTATTGTTATTTGGGTCTAAGGACTCTGTCATTTCCGTTGCGATTTTATTGCTGCTCTGTGAACTGTTTAGTGTTAGTGTTAGCTGCTCAGTCGTGTCTGACTCTTTGCAACCCTGTGGACTGTATGTAGCCCACCAGGCTCCACTAGCCCACCAGGCTCCTCTGCCCGTGGGATTCTCCAGGCCAGAATACTGGAGTGGGTAGCCGCTTCCTCTAGGGGATCTTCCTGACCCAGGGATTGAACCTGCGTCTCCTGCATTGCAGGTGGATTCTTTGTCGTCTGAGCCACCAGGTGTAGAGGTAGGCATGTGTCTTCAGTTGCTGCCGGATTCCTGGCTGCCTCTCCGGGTGCCTGTTCACTGCCGCAGTCACTCACGACTCCTCTGAGCCTGCATGGTGTGAGTGTTTGTAGACTCAGATCCACATGGCCTCAGATATGCACGGCTGGATTTAAGCTGATCTGCTACTCCCAGCCCGTCCTGTTAACCTTGACATGTCCTTTGGTCTGAGGGCTGTCCCACTGGCCATGTTATTGCTCTTATTCCCATGGGTTCGAGACGGTCTCATCTGAGCTGACAGCTGCCAGCTTTGCCTGTGTGGTGAGGCTCAGTCAGAGGCTCTCAGATAACTGCGTGTTGATTCCTTGCTGGCAGCTTCCATACCACCTGCAGCGGTATGTGGTTGGATGTATGGAAGTTGGATGTGTGTCTGCATGAGAGGTGGGCTGAGGGGCCTGGTTTTCCACATGACTGGAGGTTCACAGGGTGCAGATGGCGCCCTGAGCACAGAAGTTACAATCCTTACCTCGAGCCTCCTTCCCACCCCCACATTACATCTACTTGGCCAGCTGCTCCAGCAGACAGGGAGCCAGGGAGGCCTGGTGCGGGCTCACACATGGGTACGTCCTCTTTGAATGCCATCATCACCGCTCGAGGAAGCCCAACCCGACCTGCAGGGAGGATGAAAGACCCTGTGGGGAGAAGGGCCAGCCCCCAGCCAGCCCAGCAGCAGAGCACAGCCCTGAGAGTGGCCCACCCCCAGAACCACTAAGGTGGGGTTGGTAATTCATACAGAGGCTTTTCCTTCCTCCTCCCGAAGACCCAGACCCTTGACAGCTTTTCTGTGCCTCCTCTAATGTCCAGGGTGGGGGTCTCAGCCCTACTTCTCCTGGCTTTTGGGGCCCCTGGGACCCCAGCAGACTGGAACCCTGGTGGGTTGTGGAGTGCAGTGCAGTCCTGTGGTCCAGCCATGGTTTCTGTGTCTACAGAGGGAGCCACCTTCTTTATTTTATTCCCAGATACTTACTCATTGTTGCTCAGCATTTCTGTGTCGTGGGGACAGGGCCCTCTGTGCCAGTTTGGTGGCCCCCAGCCCCCAGCTTTGCGGTTTCTGGTCCTATCTCTTCAGTGTACAAGCTTCTCCACTGGGTCTATAAGGTCTTTTGAACTGTTATTTATACATGAAATTGGGTCACATAAAGCGATGTCATAGTTGTTTTAAATGGACACACGTGTCTGCAGATAAGATTATAGGATGAGGTCTGGAAAGGCAGATGTCAGACCCTTAACAGGGATTGTCTCTGGGAAGTGAGATTAAAGGCTGCAGTTGGAAGTGACTGTAGCTTTGTTGTAAGGTTCTATTTAAAAAATGTTCATGTATCATCCTGAAATTTTTTAGTGAATTTGCACATAGATAAAGTGTGAGCTAAGGAAGTCAAGAATGTTGTTGTTCATGTGATGGGACTATGCTTGACTCTCATTTTTTCCAGTGTACTTCTCAGTATTTTAACTAGGCACCATCTACTTTGTACAACATGAGATGGCTGGGTGGCTGGCCCAGTGGGCGGGGGCCATGTAGAGCGATGGTGCCCCTGTCAGTCTGTGAAGGGGTGTCCCCAGCGTATGTCGGTGGCTGCCGGGTGAGCCCGTTCCCAGCGCCCACCCGCCTCCGGCTGTGATGGTCCGAGGGTGGCTCCTCTGCAGAGCTTCACCCTCCCCACCTGTCTCTCGGGAAGCAGCCAAATCTTGTTTGATGGCTCAGCCGAGTAGACACGTTGTCCACCCATCTCTGTGGTTTAGCAGAAGATGAGGCGCTCACTAAATGGGGGCAGGTGGCGGGGGCATCGTGACGACAGAAGACGACGTCCCTAAACTTGCTTTACAGAATAGAAAAGAAGCGTGCGGTTGTGCCCGCGCTGGCTGCGGCCGTCCACGACGCAGAGGGGAGAGAGGTGGACTGGGAGTACTTCTACCGCCTGCTCTTCACCTTGGAGAACCTCAAGTTAGTCCACATCGCCTGCCACAAGAAGACCACCCACAAACTCCACTGCGACCCCAGCAGGGTCTACTGTGCCCCAGTGGCACCGCGGAGGAAGCGGCCTGCCCGCCAGCGCCCGTGACGCGGCCTGGGAGTCCGTGCAGCCTTCCAACAGGTGCTACTTCACGCAGTGTGTAGGTTGAACCCGTGCCCCTGCATTGGAAGCACAGAGTCTTCACCGCCGGACCACCAGGGAAGTCTCAGGGGCTGTTTTTTTGGCCACTCCAATATTCTTGGAAAAAACTTGAAAACAGTGTCCTACAGACTCTGGTTGGAGCACATTTCTGAAGCTGTTTTCTGACCTCCATGAGCTCAGCTGCCAGAGGACAAGTCTGGGGGCTCCCGGGATGCCTGGGGTCAGGAGCGGCGGCCCTGAGGCTTCACCTGTGTGAGTGCAGTGTCCCCCATCAGGTAGATTCACCCCTTGCCCGGCCACTTGGGTGGGCTTTGGGGAACTTGTGAGTTTAGACTTCAGCTCCATGGGCCTCCACTCCCCAGGCAATGCAGCGCCCCTTCCTCAGGCCTTTTCTGAATGCTTGAAAGAGTTGTGACTTTTGAGATAAAATACAAGGATATTTATTCACTGCTGTACTGTTTCCAACAGCAAACAGTGGGAAATCCTCCAAATGTCCGGAGAGCTGAATGTGGCATGACACTGGACCATGGGAAGTTGCTGTTTTTATGGGTCAGAAATGGTCAGATTAATTTCATGATTTAACCTGATACCTCTACCTAACACAAAACGCTGTAGCAGTTTCAGGCATTTTGTGAGATGTGGGAAGCTGGCTGTTAAGCGTACAGGCGAGGAAGGTGGCTTGGCCATGTCCAGTGTGATATGCGTGTGTATCACACGCCTGTGCTGGTCATGCAGAGACTGTCACAAAGGGACACACAGCATGTGAACAGCAGGAATCCTGGGGGATGGAGTGGGGTGCTATTGAATCACAAAAAGGACCAATTTGCTAAACCATGCATTTTAAGATACTTGAAGATTTTGAAATGATCATAACTTTTAAAAATTTACTTTTTAAAGTCATTTTGTAATACTTGAATTTTTATACTTATTGTATAATCACAAAAGCAATAAAGATTAAAAAAAAATAAGACATGTCAAAAAGTTTGCCCTCATTGAGAATGACAAAAATGAGAAAAATAAGGGGTCGACTTAAAAAACTGACCCAAATCTTTCTATGTCATTGAAATACACACACACTTAATTTTTTTATTATTTCCTAAAGAACTTTTAAAATGTATTTACTTGGCTGTCACAGGTCTTAAGTTGCGGCATGTGGGATCTAGTTCCTTGACCAGGGCTGGAAGCTGGGCCCCCTGCACTGGGAACTCAGAGTCTCCATGGGCCACCAGGGAAGTCCCTCCACACACTTTACAAAGTGCCAGTCCTGTGTGGGATTTGAGAAATGCTGCGTCAGCTCATGGTGTTGACCTGGTCTGATGGGAAGTGGGGACGTGGGAGGGGCCGGACGCCCCAGAGCGCAGCGGTCCTGTCTGTGCAGCGGAGTCCCAGCCACACCCCGGGGCCCTGGTCCCTCCAGCTCCACTGAGCCCCCCCCAATGCCCTGTGCTGCGGGGGTGCATCCATTCCAGCCACTTCCTGACGTTTCTGGAAAGTGGCTCCACAGAGCTTCCTTAGGACCCGCCTCCTTATTCTACCTACCCCAGACACCCTGGGCAGATTACTCAGAGTTAGAGCAATTTAACATGCACTGTGATATGCTTTTTGAAACTTTAATTCATCCCGGGCCTGATCTGCGTTCCTTTGGTCTTGCTTGTCACCCTAGGCTGGCCTGTTGGGGTGTTTTCTCTGTGCTGTCCAAAAGTGTGAGTACAGAGCAGGTTCCCCAGACACGTCGCACTGGTCCCAGCTCCTCTTCACAGGGACACCTGGGGTTTTCTTCTGGTTACATCTCACTGGGGAGTGACCGTCAGGGACACAGACTTGCCAGCCACCACCTCCAACACCCAGCAGAGTCCATAGGGCATTCCCTGCGCTCAGCGTGACCCTACAATCTCCACAAGAGACCACAGCTGCGACTTAGGGGAGCCAGCTGGTGCCGGGGAGGTGGGCGGGACGACCCACCGTACCATCTATCGTGGGTTAGAGACAGAAAGGCTCAGAATGTGTAAGAAGCTGCCCGGAGCCAGGGCTTGGGCTTCCAGGACTGAAGGTGACATTTTGCATTTTGGTGGGAACATGAGGAGGCACATGTCCTGCAGGGTTGACGCTTCTCCCAGGAGCCAGTGTGCATGAAACATAAAATCCCCTGAAATAGGAAGCAGGTTGGTCGACCCCCAGGAATTCCAGCGCTGCAGTCACAACCGTCATTCTTGCAGAATCTCTGTAAATTACTGTCCCTGGCTGCTGCCAAAGTGCTTCACAAGCAGTATTGTCACATCGTTAAAGCAGTCTGTTGTCAGTAAATCACAGAGCAGGGGCCATCACGGCTGCCAACAGGACAGCGGTCACATGGATGCGGTGACTGTGGCGACAGGCATTTCGGGGCAGTATTGTGGACTGTCAAAGGACAGCGTGGAGCCTCACTGGGCACTTCAACTACACTTTGCTCCCAAACGTGGTTCACAGGACGTCTGAGGGGGATGGGGTCTAGCGGCCATCATGACTGAACCAGAAGTGTCTACCAGCCCAGAAACAGCGAGACTGCTACTCGCGCATGAAAACCTAGGTCGGCCTCTGGGACTGCAGACCGCTCCCTCCAGTGCTAGTCACTCAGGACAGGTTTCCTCCTGGATGCCCTCCTTGTCCCTGGCCTTGGTGTCCTCTGCAAGCAGCCAGTGACAGGAGGTGGTGGCAGACAAGCAGGCCCCCGTCCCTCTCCAGAGTCCACTGGGAGAGTTGTGACACCGGGACTCTGGCAGTTTAGCTCAGCTGGGCAGCGGTGGCCGGCAACCCCATGGCACACAGAGCATGGCCTCGCCAGACAGCAGCCCCCACCAAACGGGCGAGGGACGCATCAATGCCTGCCGCCTTAAGAGACCCCACGGCCTCACCAGAGGGGCCATGTCCTCTCCAGTCCACAGCCCTGTGCTCGCAGCTCGGGGGACTGTACCCAGGGGCCCCCCACTCTGGCTGCTGAATGGACCCATGGACCAAGCCAGCCTTCAGCAGAGAAGACAGGATGGAATGAGCTTTCTCACTGAAAGAATACAGCTCAAGGGACAGAAAACTTCCTTAAAAACATTTTCAAAATATATTTTATTTCTTTTTCATATGGATGTTGCTAAATGTCCAAGGTAAACATAAACTTTGTGTACAGAAATAAAGGAGAGTTCTTTAAGAACTGGCATTGAATCAGTCATAAGAATGATCAAATTTTGATTATGGAAAATAAACCTGCATGTTATCAAAACTAGAGAGCTTGAGTGAAGAGTTTTCTTGACAGAGATGTCTCTCATTTATGAGAGAAGTTGGCTCAACCCACCACCACGTGTAGAGATGGGAGAAAACACATCACTGTGGAAACAGCAGCTTTATACCCGAGGTCATTTAGCCCCTGTGCACCAGCCTCCCCCAGGGACTGCCCACCTGTGTGGGTCAGTGCTGAGTGCTGATTACCAGCACGTCCTCTTGGAGATGTATTTTGAATAAACCCCATAATCTGCAAAATAATCACTGTCAACGGTACTAGACGTGCAGAAATCAGCCTGTGCCTCTCACCCTCTACGTTTCCGCATCATCGGCGTCATCCTCATCATCGTCTTTGGCTCTGAAATGCATTTTCCGAAATTCGCGTCTGCTCATGGAAGGGCAGGATGAAGACACTGGTGGGAGGTCCTTGGAGGGCAGAAAACACCTGGCATAAGCCCCCTGGCTCCAGCCCCCACTGTGGGCTCCATTCCCCACTGCATGATGGAGGGAAGGAGAGGGACTGGCTTAAAGGCAGAAGCCAGCCCGGCAAGTGTGGGGAGCTGCCCAGAGAACCACAGGCCACGGCCACGACCTCCCACTGTACAGTGGGGCCCAGACTCACACGGGGCCAGGCCTGCCCACACCTGTGCTCACCAGGGCATCAGTTCTCAGACTTAGAGGGTGGGGCCCCAAGTCGGCACCTGTTTTGCTCTCTCCTCCCCCATGACAGTTCTTACTGTGTGTGATCCACACCGAGCAGCATGCACACGTGTGGACCGAGGTCAGGACCGAGCGTGCGGTCTGCTGGGGATGCCCGTCCTGGGTCGGGGGAGAGGCACTGGCCTTACCTGCATGAGCTCCACGTTTCCAAAGAAGCGGCTCACAGGCATTGGCTGGTTGCTGTCGTCGTCCAGTAGGGCGCTGCTGTCCATGAGCAGTGGGGCCGCGGGGCCCTGCTCCAGGTCCAGCGCCGCCCCGTCCCTAGCGGGGCAGCCACCGTTGGACTCTCCTCCCACAGGGGCCCCATGTCGTGGTGGGGGCGGCTCGTCCTCAGTCTCTGCCGGGCTGGCATTGCTCTCGGTTCCGCAGCGTCCCGGGAGGGGACCAGCTGTCCCCGGAGGAGCGGAGCCGCCAGCTTCCTTTCCCAGAAGTGATGCCCCATCCTCAGTCGATGCCAAAGATTCGTGTGTACCCGGGGTCTCAGAGGGCGTGGCAGCGCTGTCACTCCCGTGTTTTTGGAGTTGTGACTTCACAAGGTGACCTTTGTCATACTTGAACTTCTTGGACGTCCGCCTGTCGGTGGCTTTGTGTGATGAGGGAGTCTGTCAGGAGAGAACATGCAAGGGGGCATCAGACGGGTCTTGGGGCACGAAGCAGATGGCATATGATTAACACGCCTCAACCCTGGAGGCTGGTCGTCCTGCTCTTGGCCAACAGCGTCCCTGCAGGAACCACAGCTTCGAGGACAGGGTCCTTTCGCTGTTCCCAGTGAAGGGGCAGTGTCCAAATGGATGGCTGGGAGAAAGTCCAGACATGCCCAGTGCTGTCCCCCGAAGGGTGTTGTGACAAGTGAAACGACAACCCAAGGACCAGTTTCCGTTTGTCTCTGCTGGGATGTGGGCTCCCAGGAGACAGAGCTCTGTATCCCGGCGCAGGAATGGGACTTGACTCAGTGCAGCTTTAGGGGGCAGTGCCCTGGGAGATACGGGCCGGTGCAGCCGGACTCCAGGCTGTGGCTCAGGGAGCAGCTCCAGGAGCTGGGGCTGCCTGGCTGCCAGGCCTGCAAGACCTGGATGGCAGACATGGGTCTGCCCGCAGTGGGGAGCAGCACAGCCTGTGCCCACGCCACTCAGGCTGCCTGGCGAGGCCGCTGAGCCCAGTGCCCTCAGAGGGCAGCACAAGCCCTGAGGTGGGTCCTCCCACAGTCCCAGCACCGTGACCTTCATGCTGGTCTGTTGGCCTCGCCCCGGGCTTTCTAATGCAACACGTCCCGTGGGAAGGTGGACACTCCGTCCAGCCCTGTCTCCAAGGGGTGAGGCTCACCTGACATGCTGTCCGGGCAGACGTGGCGACGTGGGTGTCCTGGGCTGAGGCTGACGCAGCTGAGCAGCTCCGGGCTCGGAGGCGCGCAGAGGACCGCACTCCACCTGCCAGCTGGGCCAGACCAGAGGCCAGTCAGAGACCGAGACGGCCCCTCCCGCCCCTAGGTTTTTATTGACCGTGGCAAGACGGCAGCCTGTGTCCCTGCTCAGAAAGTTCTCAAACTGTTACAGGGTGTCCGAGTTCTTGGTAAACAGTGAAAAAAGCAAAAGACACCCCTCCGTGCCCCCTCCTTGAAATCTCAGGGGAGGGGTCCCAATCCCATCATCTTGAAGGGGCTCCAGTTGCCGGTGGACAGACCTCGAAGCTGACAAACCACCCCACCGCTATCTCGCTAAGAAAGCAAATTAAGTCTTCTAGTAACAAGGAAGTGATTAATTAAAACAATAAAGCTTACAATCATTTTATTTAAGAATAGCTTTAGGTTTTCAGAAAAGCAGCGAAGATGACAAGGGAGTTCCCGCCCGGGCCTCCCTCAGCTTCCCTGGAGCCAACAACCCGCACATCTATCAAAATGAAGATGAGATTGGGCTTTATGCGAGTCTCACCTGCTTCTTCACTAACTGCTTTCTCTGTTCCAGAATGGGGACACCTAGACACTTAGCAAACACCACACGAAAGCTCAGGTGAGAACTTGAAAGTGAGAGAGGTGGGTGACAGGGAGGAGGGAGTTGTGGAGGGCAAACTAGACAGCCCCTGGTCACAGCAGCCTAGAGTTGAAGTCACAGACCTGCTGGGTGGGGGGCAGCACGTGCCAAAGTGGGGAAGAGAGATCAGAAATCACACAAGCTCCTCGCGAAACCTTTAACAGCAACTTCTCACCCATCCCTGTCCTGCTCCACCACTGCCCCCATCCGCAGAGCCTTAGGTATAAGAGATACAGGTTCGATCCCTGGGTAGGGAAGATCCCCTGGAGGAAGGCATGGCAACCCAGTTCAGTATCCTTGCCTGGAGAATCCCACTAGGGGATTGTAAATAGAAAAAATACTGGAGACCCCCATTAAGTTAGCGATTACTCAAGAAAGCGGGCTTGCTTAGCAACAAAACCATGAAACAGAAGTATAAGACATGCCCCCAAACAATAATAGTGGTGGCATGAGCCCCACGTCCTGCCCAGTGGGCTCAGTAAGGTAACGATCCCTAGGATGTGCTCTCTGCACACACAGAACAATAATTTGTGGAACTTGCTTGACCATGTAGGGACAAGAAACCTCCCCTGCCCAACCTGGAAGAGCTGATGATGGAAGCACGATGCCTACTCAAGAAACACCAAGTTCTTTTCCCTGTCCACTTTTCCTTTGATTATGAAACTGTAGCCCACTAAGTTCTCAGGGGGCAGCACCCTTTTCCACCCACTTGTAAACCACACAAGCATCCATTGTAATAATCACTTCTTATCTATCACTTTGCTCTTGCTGAATTCTTTTCTCCACTGAGACATAAAGGACAGTGGTACCAGAGCTCTGTGGAGCCCCAGATACGACACCAATGGGTCTCACCCTTAAGAGTCCAACTTCAAATATATCGATCCTGGGTCACGCCGGCTTTCTCAAGGTGGGGTGGGGGGAAAATGGACTGGCCCTCGTGACAGCTGCCATCATCCAAGTGTTGACGCTCAGGTTCTGCTTGTGCTGAACAGCCTTAAAAGAAGCACCTCCACTTCAGACTCGGGAGAGGACGCTGCTGGGGTCACACACTCATCGGAGCCCCTCTCCCTGCCCTAGCACCAGAGTTCCCACATGAAAGCTCTGGCGGCTTGCGGGGGCACTGAGCCAAGACTCTGCTGTCGGTTCTGGGGCATGTTGCTGTGCAGGCTTTCCAGTAGCAGCAAGACATGTCTAGGTGCTTAAAAATAGTCCTTAAAAATCTTGGGGTGCAACTGCTCATCACAGGGCTTGTTACCACTCAGGGTGGGGGTGGGGGACACAGCACCCAGAGTTGCTATAGTATTTCAAATGTCCAGTTTCAACAGAAAATTAGGAAGCATGCAAAGAAACAGGAACGCAGACCCAAACACTAGAATAATAGCAGGTAACAGAAACTGCCTGTGACAGTGATCAGATGCAGGATTTATCAGAAAAGATTGTTAAACCAGCCATTTTAAACATGTTCAAGAACTAAGAAAAACCATGATTAAAGAAGATTTAATGACATATCAAATAGAGTTTATAAATTAAAAAATGGACATTATAAAAAAGCCAAATGGGAACTCAAAAGTTGAAAATTACAATAGCTGAAATTAAAAATTCACTGGTGGGTTTGGGGTGGGCGGTGCTCAAGAAGAGATATGGACCAGAAGAATAAGAGAACTTGAAGATAGATTGCTAGGTTACACAAACCAAAAAACAAAGAGAAATAAGGATGAAATAGAATGAAGAGAGCCTCAGAGACCACTACATGCACCATCATACATGTAATGGGAGTACCAGGAAGAAAAGAGTAGAAAAAATATTGGAAAAAATTAGGGCTGAAAACTTCCCAAATTTATTGAAGAACAATGTACAAACCCAGCAATCTCAAATAACTGAATTTCAAGTAGGACAACTGTAAAGAGATCTATAATCAGATGCAACACTACAAACGCTGCAAGTCAAGGACTATGGAAGATCTTCCAAGCAGCAAGAGCTCACTCAGTCGTGTCTGACTGTTTCCAGGCTCCTCTTGTCCATGGGATTCTCCAGGCAATGATACTGGAGTGTGTTGCCATTTCCTCCTCCAGGGGATCTTACCCACTCAGGGATGGAACCTGCACCTCCTGCATTGCAGGAGGATTCCTGGGAATACCCAAGCGGCGGAGCTAAACAATCCATCACAAGTCAGGGAAGTCAGACTGGGAAAATGCCATCCACATGGGGTCTTCAGGAGACTCTCTTTTGAGTCAAAGGTACAAACAATAAAAACGAGCCCAGACCAGGAGAGCCCAGGTGCGGCTCCCACCCCCGGAGGCCCACCTCCCCAGGCAGGGTGTATCGAGTACCGGGCCCCAGACCTCCCGACGGCAACCAGTACCAGGAGCTAGCGCCCCTCAATTCTCTCCACCCTCCGGGGTGGACCCCTCGTCGTGTGCCCCAACTTGGGCTGACAGACGCCGGGTCAGGCAGCGTCAGAATATCGGGGTTCAGACGAGCTCTGGAGAGGGAGCCCCCCCCATCCCAGACTTGGTCTGGGAACATCCTTCTCAAAGTCCCCCAACCGGGGGGCGTAGGGTACGTGCGTCTGTGTGTCTGGTGTGTGCTTGAGTATATGGGGGGTCCAAGGGCGTGGCCTGGGAGAGCCCCCCTCCCGGGGGGCGTGGCCTGGAAGACCCCTTCCGGGGGTCGAGACGCAGACGGAGACCCCTCCCCCTCCCCATCCGAGGCGTCCAGTGGCTCAGCCTCAGCTCCCACGCGGCCTCCGCCCCCCTCACCTTCCGGCTCCTCATGAGTGTGAGCGGCGCAGTGCCGCTCCTTACGCCGCCAAGGCCCCGCGCCCAGACTAATCCTTTCCAGCGGAGAAGAGATCCGGCGGCCCCTGGCTCGCGCCGCGGCGTGTGACGCCACCAGAAGACTGGCCAATCACAGCTCGGCGTCCCCAGGTATGTGACCCAACAGAGTCGGCGTTTTACGTATGGGTGGGGAGACGGCCATGTTTGTTAGGGGCTCCTCCCTTCCGGTTTCTCCAGCCGCCATGTTTAAGTGGGGCGGCGGCCATGATTATAAGGGCCGCCTCCCAGGCAGTTTCTGCGGCCGCCATGTTTAAGTGGGGCGGTGGCGACCAGGTTTGGGGACCCTGGTTGCTGTCCCTAGCCACCTGTGTGGAGGTGGGCGGGAAGGTCCTGCGCGGTAGTCTCTTCCACGCGAGTCGGGCAGCTGATATTCCCCGGTGCCGGCCCTGTCTTCTGGGCTCCGGGCGCGATGCTACAGTCCCTGGAAGTGGGTCCGCGAGGCCGTCCCCGGCCGTGTTCGCACTGCCCGCCACCGGGTGCGGGGCGGGCCCGGGCTGCACAGCGAGCCCGACCGCGGGGGTTCGGAAGGGGACGGCCTCTCCCGTCGCGAGCGCCGTGGCGGCACCCTCCGGTGGAGCCCCCGGCGCTGGCCCGCACCTCCTGGCGGCGGCCGACTGGCGGCAACCTGCTTTCTGGGTCCCGGGTCTCGGGGGCGGGCGTCGGCGCCACGGGGCCAGGTTCACGGACGAGGCTGAAGTCCGCCGGGTTCTCGGGCCTCCACAGCCGGGAGACACCAGCCTCTGTGCCCGCGGGAGGCTCCTTCCGAGAACCGCCCACCTTCTCTTAGGGACGCAGAATAAACGACAGTGCTGTGTACTTTTGTTATTATTCTTCTAACAGGTGAGAACATTTACATCAGGCAGTTTTATCAGAAACATTAGATTTTCCACTTAAAGTGTAAATGTTGAAGTGTGTACCGCTCGAGGGACCCTCACTCATGTGGTTCCCTGGCTCTTCCAAAGGTTTCATGCTCTGCTCTGACGGAATGACCCTTGAAGCCTGGAAATACAGTCGATGCCCGTTTTCAGTACGTGAAAAGCAGGGTCCCTCAGGATCCTCCAAAAAGCTGTGCAGACTGTCCCGACTTTAGAAATCTGCGTATTGTTAATTAGGGAGCCCCTTCCCATAGACTGTAGGTGGAGCTTTGCTTTCGGCATCCTAGTACACACTGCACACACCTGCACAAGCTAACCCACCTGGCCTGTCCATCTTCCTTCACTGAGTTGTTCCCCATGGTGCACAGGGAAGGGAAAAAAGACTAATGCAGACTGGCAGGAAATCCATTTGAAGAGGAAGCTAACATAATCACTGTCAGCTGCTAAGAAAGAAGCAAAGTGATACAGTGTTAAATACCTAACCTGTCCCATTTTCCGGCTTCCCAGATGTCACAGTGGTAGAAATTCCTCCTGCCAATGCAGGAGACACAAGAGATGGGGATTTGATCCCTAGGTGGGGAAGATCCCTTGGAGAGGGAAATGGCAACCCACTTCAGTATTCTTGCCTGGGAAATCCCATGGACTTGCAAAAAGTCAAACAGGACTGAGCATGAACGTCCCATTTTCACTGGAGTGGGTTTCATAATAAGCTAGGTTCTATGGTTTTATTTCAGGCTCCTTAAGTGCTCTGAGTTCTCATAAACCTGGGGTTGATGGTCACAAGCCAGCGTTTGGCTCCAGGTGGTTTATGGTTAATGTCAGTTGAGATGAGCTGTACCACATCCTCTCAGTGTCACCCTGGTTTAACCTCTGAAAGGTGCTCTTGGGCTCTTGTTGCTGACACATTCAGCTCTTCCCCTCACCACGCCCCTGCCCCCAGTCTATGAGTGGTACTCCAGCCACCCAGCAGCAGCTCAGGCCTGACCCTGAGGCCCTTACTGCCCGAGTCCCTCAGTGATCGTTGCTGGTCTCCCTTCTCTTGCCTTGGCAGTCAGAATGGTCAGTGATCCATGGTGACCTGCCCCTCAGCTAACGCTCTTCAGCTCTTCCTTGTCGCTTCTAGGATGAAGACCAACAGTTCTAATTGACCTGCATGGCCCAGCGCAGTGCCTGGCTCAGTGGCTACTCAATGAGTGTTGGTTGAATAAGTGCACAGAAGGCCCTGGAAGTGGAGGTTGCCCACCGCTGCCCCTCACCTGGATTCATCTAGCCCTGCTGCCCTGTCCCCTCCCACTCTGCTGTGCACCCCACTCCCCTGTCTGCCCCTGCCCTGTATGCTCTGTTCTTTCCACCTGGAAAAATTTCTCCCCAGCCTCCACCCATTTGGTCCAGCAAATTCATTCCTTAAACCTCAACTCAGATTCATTATCATGGTTGGGGGACATTACTAAATGTTCCCCTCACACCCCCAAATTAAGTCTGCCAATCAGGTTTTTTTTTTTTGGCATGCCATGTGGGCATGTGAGATCTTAGTTCCCCGACCAGGGATTGAACCTGTGCCCTTTGCTTTGGGAGCTTGGTGTCTTAACCACTGGACTACCAAGGAAGTCAGTCTGCCAATTGTCTTTTAGCGTCATGCACTCTTGCTCCAGGACACGGTGCCAGCTGGCTCTGCCCTCTCTTGGAGCACCACATGGCACACCCCTGCATTTGTTCACTCCGTGCCTGCTGAGCTCCCATCGTTTCACCAAGCTGGGCCTGGGGTGGCAGTGATGCTGAACTCCTAAGGAGCCTGCCTTTTAGTGTCTTGGCCCCGCAGGGGGTTGGGCACTGGTGGAGTAATCACCCAAGGACCCATAAGTCTGTGTTGGAGCAAGAGGCCACGGGGAGAAGCCACACAGGGGCAGCAGCTAGGATGTCAGACCCACACGGGGTCAGATAAGACTCCTTGGAGAGTGGAAGTGGATCAGGAGTCACCTCTTCCTCCAGGACCCAAGCCCCTTTCAGGTTCCCGAGGAGTCATGTAGGAGCCCCCGCCTGGGCAGAGGGTCACCCTTCCTGAGGTTCTGCCCTGGCGGAGGAGCAGTGCTTGGACTCTCTGCTCTCCCCATCTCCCCAGCTGCCATGTCAGGATGTGATCCGTCCTGGAGGGCACACACAACATGGAACCAAAATCATGCCTCGGAGCCGCCTCCTGGGCTCCTCGGTGGCCTTGGTCTATCCATTTTTTGCTCAACAGCTGTACCCCCTGCCCTTTCAGGGTTAGGGGCCCTGAGAGGCGTGTCTTATGATGGCAGGATGCTGGTCCTCGTTGTTGGTTGGTCCCCCAGGTGGATTGCAAGCTCCCTGCAGGCAGGGACTGTGTCCTGCTCACAACGACATCCTAGGACCCTGGCCTGTGGCTGGGACATGCTCGTGGGGACTCGGGAAGCACTGGACAAAAGATGGATGGTGGTGATGACACATCAGAAGAAGCTGAGGATGGAAGATTCCAAGGAAGCTTTGTCTCCTGACCGAAGACACAGTCTCACTGCTGAAACACCTCTGTGTCCACAGCTCAGTGTCTGCATTTTATGAACACCACAGGGCAGGCGAGAAATCAGAAGAGAATTTTCCACCGATTAGCAGTCCGTCGGTTCATTAACTGAGGCCACCCCTAATCTGGAGTGTGTCTAGTTACTCCCAGCAGATGCTGGCCTATATGATGAGTGATTGACTCTGATACCCTGACCCTTTATATTTAAAAGAAAGATGAAAAAAAAAAAAAAGCTCTCAGTAGATCGTGGAGCAGCAAGAACTCATTCGTTCCTGGAGGGATTGAAGCACAGTGCAGCCACTGGAAAACAGCTGGGCAGGTTCCAACAAACCCAGACAGAGTCTTAGCATCCAACCCAGCAACCATGCTCCTTGGTAGTTATCCAAAGGAGCTGAAAGCCTGTGTCCACACTCAGCCTGCACAGGATGTTTATGTTAGCTTTATTCACAATCGCTAAAACCGGGAAGCAACCAAGATGTCCTTCGGGAGGTGAATGGATGATAAACTACAGTGCATCCAGACAATGGAGTATTATTTAGTGTTTAAAAAGAAATGCGCTCCCAAGCCTTGAAAAGACAAGGAGTACCCTTAAATGCGTTTTACCAAGTGAAAGAAGCCAATCTGAAAAGGCTGCATACTGTTTGGTTCCAACAATATAACATTTTTCTGGAAAAGGCAAAACTATGGAGACAGTAAAAAGATGAGTGGTTGCCAGGGGCTTGGGGAGGGGACAGATGAGCAGGCAGAGCATAGAGTATTTTTAGTGCTCTGAAAATACTCTGTACAATATCATCATGATGGCTGCATGTCATGAAAAAAAAGTGAAACATGTTAGTTGCTCAGTCGTGTCTGACTCTTTGTGACCCCATGGACTTTGTAGCCTGCAGGCTCTGCTGTCCATGGAATTCTCCAGGCTAGAATATTGACTAGGTAACCATTTCCTTCTCCAGGGGATCTTTTTGACCCAGGGATTGAATCCACATTTCCTGCTTTGCAGGTGGATTCTTTACCATCTGAGCCACCAGGGCAGCCTGTATCATTATGAAAGTGGAAGTCGCTCAGTCATGTCCGACTCTATGACCCCATGAACTCTGTAGCCCGTCAGGCTCCTCTGTCCATGGAATTCTCCAGGCCAGAATACTGGAGTGGCTTGCCGTTCCCTTCTCCAGAGGATCTTCCCAACCCAGGGATTGAACCCAGGTCTCCTGCATTGTAGGTGGATTTTTTTTTTTTTTTTAACCATCTGAGCCACCAGGAAGCCCAAGAATACTGGAGTGGGTAACCTGTCTCTTCTCCAGGGGATCTTTCTGACCCAGGGATTGAATCCTTTCTCCTGCATTGCAGGCTGATTCTTTACCAGCTGAACCACTAGGGAACCCCGTTATCGTTATAAACTTGCCCAAATCCATAGAATGTACAGCACTGAGAGTGAGGCCTAGTG